GAAAGAGGAAACCTGTGAGACTCATCCCTGTTGTGTGGTACACATATTATTAGCTGTAGCTAAACATTTCATCGAAATTTTCAAAAAGGCATTTAAAGACTGTTTGGAAAAATAATTTCAAGTACACAAAGACTTGCAATGGGAGGAACAAACTCAAACTGTATCAAATAGTTCTAAAGTCATGAAAAAAAATTCTTTTATTTAATAACAATTATATATTTTTAACTTTTGTTTTACCAAAAGATTATCGACGTTTATTTTAAACAATGAAGGTAATGTTTTTGTAGAATGAAGTAATCATTTACAATTGGATGAAGTTTATTTTAGAGTGTGTTTTGTTGTTGTAATGTTTATCATGTTCTTTTTTTCTTAATTTTTGAAGTGTGTAATTTCTTCTACAATTTTGTAACAAATCTTCAAAATTTAAAAAAATGGGATTTTTCAGGCATGATATTTGCATTTATAAAATTTTATAAAATATAACGTTAGAAACATTTTATAGTAGTGCTTATGTGTCATGAAAACAGTTGAATATATTTAAAATTTAGTTATTTTTAATTTTTCGGTATGATATCAGAAGCAATTTTCTTTTAACGCTGATGTTGTGAGTATTTTTATCGTCAGTATTGTTTTTATTACTTTAATTTCAGAAATTTTCACATTATTCGATTGATATTAAAGACAAAAATTTATGCTTTTGCATTTTTATCATGTTTAAAATAACATAATTGTAAAATAATTATAATCTTAAGAATTTCTTTGATTTACTTTATATTAAATTAAGCTGAAGAACTTTTACATTATGAAAAAAAAAATCCTAATCAATGCAGAAAAGAATGTTGCTTTAACTTGTTGTTGTAGTTCATTTACGTCGCACTTGAGCTGCACAATGCGCTATTGGCGACGGTCTGGGAAACATCCCTGAGAATGATCTGATGACATGCCATCACAATTTTGATCCTCTGCAGAGGGGATGATGACACCCCCGCTTCGGTAGCCTGACGACCTGCACGCGTAGTCGAGCACGATCTGCTGGGAACCGTGTTTTAACGATCAGTCCACTGCGGGACATTTTATTTTCGAAAAAAAACAGTAGAACAACAAATTTCGGTTGCTAATTTTAGCAACACATTATATAGTTGTAGTTTCATTTACGTCGCACTAGAGCTGGACAATGGGCTATTGGCGACGGTTTGGGAAGCATCCCTGAGGATGATCCGAAGACATGCCATCACAATTTTGATCCTCTGCAGAGGGGATGGCACCCCCGCTTCGGTAGCCCAACGACCTGCACGCGAAGTCGAGCATTTTACGGTAGCACAGTTTAACGAGGACCAATACCGCACACCCTCGGTCCCTACGCAGACTGATCCAAGTGGGTCACCCACCCGCACACTGACCGCAGCCAGTGATGCAGCAACACATTAAACTCAAGAATTGAATCGCAACGTCTTCATCATTTGAATCGTAACGAACGTTTGATAGAATAGTTCTTTAGCAACACATTAAACTCAAGAACTATTCTATCAAATGTTCGTTACTATTCAAATGATCTTCTCTGGGTTCTTTTCGCAATTCTGTAACTTATTTTCTACATATTCCAGCTTCGAATCCCTCAGACACCTTTTAAAAACGAAAATATTTGGCCACAACTTTACTTAAAGGCAGATGAGGGGAAGAGTTGCTTCTTACAATAAATCTTAATACAATAAAGCTTTTCTTTAGGCTTAAGCAATAAAGCTTTTCCATGAGAGCTCTTCTAAGGTGAAAAATTCTTATTTTAACCATTTAATTTCTACTGGGGGCTAACGAGGTGAAGAGTTATAATATATGAAGAGTTGAAGCAAGCAGATGAGTGAGGAGCATTCCTCCATCAATTGCAAAAAAATAAATAAATAAAAAACAAACAATAGAAATGATAGATTTTTCTAATTTTTTCACTTCTTTTTTATTCCCAGCAGGCTTCAGAAAGGGAAAAAGAACACCAAGTGTGAACATACCGAAGGCCAGGTGGGGGGAAATGGGGATATAATAAACAAGAAAAAAAATTTTCTTCTTTTAAATTAAAATAATTGGTTTCTTATTTTTAAAATACTCGGATCAGGGTTGCGCAAAAGAGGTACCAAGAGGGTAAGTCGCTATAGCTATCGTTAGGGGAATACTTTTTTTTTTTATTATCTTATACAATGTTGTAGTTTTAAAACAATAAATTAGAGGAATATTTTTGATTATTTAAAGAGGCAATTTTTAATATTTGGGAGAGGGGGATAAAATTTAAGATCTTATTTTTTCGGTGGGAGATATTTTTCCAGTCAAATTTATTGTATAATATCAATGCACAATTTTAGATTCACGTAAAATAACAAATGGCACATTTACAATTAATGATTTAGTTTGAGGGTAACGGGAATTTTTCGGGTGGTGGATAAGATTTCAATAGCTTTTTGGTGAGCATATTCTTTTTAGTCGGGATTATTCTTTTTAACCCAGTTCATTATATCTTTAACTCAAAATTTACAAGAAAAGAAAAGCACATTTATAATCAGTGGATTGGTAGAACTAAAACATTAATTTCAATCTTTTTTTTATGGGGAATATTCATTAAAACCGCATTTGATAGGATTACTATTTTGATAATTTTTATTCTCCTTTTAAGGCACTATAGCCTGTTATAAGCCAACTAGTTTTTGCGATCTGATCCTATCCGCAGAAAGGCTTTTCCAGCTTCCCTTATTATTTGTCCTCCTCCACACAGTCAAGCCACCTAGTTAGTGGTGGTCTTCCTCGTTTTCTGTTTCCTATGAAATTAGTATAAGTTGCTTTCTTTATTCACTGGGATTGTTATCAGTTTTTAATAAATGTCCAAGCCATCTTAGTCGATTGAATTTTATGACTTTAACAATATGAAGTAGCTTGTACCATTGGTAAATTTCAAAGTTAAACAAAAATCTCCAGCTATTAATCTCATAGATTGCTTCAAAGATTTTCCATTCAAAGGTCAATAATTTATTTTCATATAATTTGGTCACTGCCCAGAACTCACTTCCGTAAAGCAGAATAGGTCAAATTAGTGTTTTATAGATGTTAATTTTAGCCTTGACAGCAATCATAGCAAATCATTGTTAATAGACAATGATGGTTCTAAGATATTTGAACCGTGAAACTCTTTCAAATGCGTAATTCTTCACTGTAAATGGCTGAGGATTAGGTGTATAGTGAAGCCTCCATGAATTTTGTTTTATCTTCATTTATTTTACGCCTAATTTATCTGCCCCACCTTCTAATAAATTGAATGCTTCTGTGACAAATTTTCTGGATCTACCAACTAAATTCTTCTAGTAGACAGTTCCTCTAGCTGTGAGACCAGACACAACAGATTTTCATTACATCTTTATTATATCCGAAAAATGTGCCCGAGTTCTCAAAGAAAAATTTTTTTTCTTGTAATAGCAGTGTTGTTCTAGTTTCAAAGAAGATGGAATTAATGCAATTTGCACATATTATCTACCGTTAAACTCTTCAATTATGGTTGAAAATTCTTCGCTATCACCAGTTTACAAAGAATTGGAAAGTAATGCGAACATTGATGACATAAACGAATTTCAAAAGACAAAAAAAAAAAAAATACTTCCCCGAACATAATGAAAAGAAAAAGTTAGACACAAAACAGTTTATCTATCCTTCACTAATGTTACCAATTATTACCAGATTATTTTTGGATTTTATTAACTGTTAACAATAGTTAGATTGCTTTGCAGAAAGAGTTCTAAGATAAGTTAAGCTTATAAAAAAAAGTTTGTCATTTTTGAAAATTGTTCTCACAAGTAGATGGAAATAAGCACTGAAAAAAAAAGCTACAAAAGTCAAAGCGGCAGAAAAATTTATCGTCAAAAACATTATAAAACAAAACTAAGCCTAAATTAAATATTTTTCTTACATATTATGAATTAATTAAATATTTTAAAATTAATTAATATTCAAGGGATAGTTTGAAGTATGTGGAAAGGAACATTTTACATTTCATACTTTTTCACTTTTAATGCTTTTTAATACTCTAATATGAGGTATAAGAATGTTATAATACCAATAATTACACTTATATTGTGATATGATAATCAGTTAAAAATATTTTAAAAAGGGTCTTTTTAAAAAAAAAAAAAAAAAACATTACATTATACTGAAATATTTCATCACATTTGTAAATATTTTCAACTTTAACACTCTGTTAGAATATCGCTATTTGAAACATAATATGTATATACTGTACCATAAAAGATATATAATTAAAAAAATATATAAAATTTTAAAAATTCCATTTCACACACTTTGAATAAATCCTGGGATATTAATTTTTCCAAAATTATCTAGTTACATTTGAATAAATGTTTTATAACATAAAATTTGGGCTCAACAGTCTCAGTGGTACATGGTGGGTCTTAGCGGAGTCGAGAATCAAACCCCGGCCCCATCCTTTTATAGTCGAGATTGTAAATACAGCTTTTTGTTGTTTGAGGGGGAAAGAAGCTTAAATATTTGAAGAAAAAGTTTAAATGATTTGAAAAAAGTTTTTGAAAAACTGTGTCTCTTTTTGCTTTTTATGCATTTTAAAATGTTAAGAGAGAAATCCAAAGTTTCACTACTTGCTACCATATTTCATGTATTAGAATTTTTCATCTCTCTAGCCCCTCAGAAATTTCATGATCTGGTAATTAATAGCAACTATTAATATTATTCAAATCAAACTGAAACTTTTTATTTTCAAAAAACTGGTAAAAAAAAACAATTTTAGAATAACAGTTCTTAACAAATAATCATTTCGCACTGTAACCATAATATTTTAAACCTTTTAAAATAGCAGAATTTTGAAAATTAAAATTTTTTATAATTATTGGTCTTCAAATAAGTAAAAATTTGGTGATAAAGAAATAACTGATAAAACCATACAAACTGTAGATATTTGTTGACACTTTAGTCAAACAAGAGAAGATAAAACACATAAAGAAATGAAAAATTGTTTTATTGTATTAACAATATTTACTTACAACAGCACTGGCATATTCAATATTGCGGTAAAATAGTTTTGTATATAGTAAGTATAATCTAAAATAACTTCAAAGAGAAAAATATGCAAACCCCATAAAACAGCAAAAAATTACCAAAAATAAAAATTAAGAACCAGTTTAACAAAAGAAATTAGGATTACTTCAAAGTTTATTACTTATACAGTATTATTACTTATACAGTATTATTACTTATACAGTATTATTACTTATATAGTATTATTACTTATACAGTATTATTACTTATACAGTATTGTTACTTATACAGTATTATTACTTATATAGTATTATTCAGTTTCATTCAATAATAATAAGTTAAAAGAATAACAATGATTGACAATAGTTAATAAAGAAATACAATTTAGCTGATGTAATAAATCTTTTCTCTCATATATTAATTTCATTTACAATAAATAATATAACATGTAATTATATCAAATTTGATTATTATAATTACATTTTATATTATGCAATTATTATAATTACATTTTATACTTATGTAATTAAAATAAATGTAATAACTTTCATAATTCATTCTTAAAATTCATTTTAATAAAAACAAAAGTCACATAAAATACCGCGTCATTAATTGATTTTAGTTTAATATATTATTCATTTGCTTTATGATTCCTTCATTTCAGATCATTAGATTCATATACATTGGTTGTTATTGATTGAAAAATTCCGTATCCATGATTTCAGCTTGCAACCAAGGTTTAATACTACCAAAAAAGTCTGTTACATACAAGTCTTTAAGAACTCTAGACAGAAAACAGGTAGAATGATCAATTAAGGCATTCGTCCCCATTTACGTTCTAGCCGCAGATGTAGAAGGACTCAAAGACCTCGATGCATCAGGGCTAGAAAGATACTGTCATGCAAGATAGCTGTAAGTATCTTTTCCTGTACGTTCTAGGTATTCCTTTTCTATTAAAATATCTACACATTTCTGAAAAGAGAAGAAAAATATTACAGTGATAAAATATTAGTGATGTAACGAATAGGGATTAGGCTGAATATCAATAATTTTTTTAACAAATAATTAATAAATATTATATTTTATAAATAAATTTAAGTCATAATTGAAGAACAATCAAAACTTAGTAATATTATTTGTATGCTAAAAAAATGCAATATTCTTGCTACATTATTTATAATATAGTAAAATTTACCAGGGTGCTAATCCAGGGGCCCTTAATGACTCACTCTCTTACTTGGAAGATTTTTTTTTCTGGGCTGTTACTTGTTCCAATTTTAATACAAGCTTTCATTTCTTTTAACATTTGTGACATGAACCAGAAATTTCTAAGAAAAAAGTTTCTTTTTATTTAAAAAAGTGCTAAACAGGGGAATGGGTCTTTAAAGGCCACTGGATTGGAAAATCACAACCAGGACCTCAGCAGGTTCGGAAAATAGATCGCCGAATATTGAAACTTACTTATCAGTTAAAAAATAACGTTAATATTTAATTTAGTACTGTTTAATTATCATTTAATCAATTTAATAAAATATTCACCAGGGTTGGTGAATAACAAAATAAACAGACACTAATCGGAAAGTACTGAAACTCCCACCAAAGGTGTTATCCAGTTAATAAATAGATAAGAAAAATTACTTGCAATCTCCCTCATATCTTTTTAGATTATAAATTTTATCTATAAACAAACAAATGCAAAATTTAAATCGGTATAATATCCATCGTGAGAGTTAAGTAATTAAATAATAAAAGGAAATTTCACATGAAAGTTAGCTAGGTAAAAAAGAAAATGTTGCATAAACCCTGATTATAATAAAACCAGTCATAAAATTTTAAAAAAATAATAACTTTGAAGGAAAAATTTCTGTTACCATATTGTGGTCTGTGGCAAATTAATTGCCAAGCTTTGATTTAGGATTGAAATGCCAATAAAAAAAATATGATTTTATTTTTTCTTCATAAATGATTTATGAAGATAAAAGAAAAAAAAAAGAAAAACTTGAGTTTTTAGATTGAAAAAAAAGAGAATAATAGAAGAAAAATATCTTCTCAAATTAAATCTTCAATGCTTTCCAAAATAGATTTTAAATCAAAATAATTTTTTTCAGAAAAAGGTGTCGATAAAACAACGTTAAAAGAAATATAGAGTATCAGAAACACATTTTAAAAATGCTGTGCTATTTTAAAAATACCCATAAATATATATAGATATATATAGATAGATAGAAAAGCGGAGTAGAAAAATTAAATTTTATTTTAATTCTTGAAATAAAATTTTAAAGCTGAACATCTCAGTTTTCCAATAACTGTATTTTCAAAAATAAGTTAAAAAAAATAATGAAATCTTGCAAAAACCACTCTCAAAAATTCCCTCATCAATATAAAAACGTCCATAAAAACAGTTAAACTTTTTTTTCTTAAAAAAAAAAATTTTAAAGCAGAAAAACTCAATTTAACCTTTCACAATACAGAGTTTTTAGAAAAAGTTATGTTAAAAGAATTAAGTTTAATAGAAACGCATTTTCAAAAATGCCAAATTGTAATAGAAAAAAGCGTAAGTAAAACAGAAAAAAAAAACATTTTTAGTTCTTAAAACAAATCTTTAACGTTACAAATCACAGTAATCTATGTTACCAGTTATTTATATCACAGAACAGGAAAAAAATTTCAATTAAATAATAAAATCTATTAGAAAAACAGCAAGGAAAAAAAAACAATTGCTCTCAATTCTTAAAACAAAAAATGTAAAAAAAAAAAAGACTAAATTGACTTGCCTGAATATAATTTAAAAAATGCTGTACAAAACTTCCTGTTTCAGTTTAAAGTAATGCAGTTTCAATTCTTCAAATTTCCTTTTTCCATTTGTCTTCCAGAACATATATTTGCAAATAAAAAATTCTTGTGCAAGCACATAAAATTTAGAACTTAACAAATATGTGCAAAAGCTATTTTTAATAATGTATCACTAAAAATACAATTTTAGATCATTCTTTATTAAATCTATTCAAAGAAAAAAAACTTAGTCAGTAGATGATTTTCTAAAAATACTTGGTCCGAATACTTGGTCAAGCATTCAGCCAAAACGCTAAATACCAAATAATGGACGAATATTCGTTAAATCCCTATTCAATACATTATAATAAAAGAAAAGAGTGAAAATAGCAGTCAGATGGAATAATATTAAAGTTAATACAGCATACAAAAATATTGAGTAACAATAATCATAAAACTATGAAATATTATTAAAGAAAAGAATGGTTAAAAAATTTATGAGTAATGCTAAAAAAAATGGATCATAAATGAATGCATAATAACTTTTCGTCACTTTTATCCATAATTGAATGCTAAATCTATCCATAATCATAAAATTATTTGGAAATAAAATTGAACAGATAATTAAAAGTTAAGACTCAATCAAAAAATAAGGACTAAAAGGAAAATTTCAATACATTTTATATAACTCATACTAAACAATTCTTTATCTAGGATATAAAAAATATATATACTGTTTATAATTGCAGTAAATTCAAGTAAACATACTAAAATATTTGATTACTATAAATTAACTATTTTCTAACTACAAATTTTATAAATGGGGTGGAAATCATACTGAGTAAGATGCTTTATTATCACCAACTTCAGTTAAAAAGTAAATGATAATTTTTTAAATAAGAGTTCTAAACAAACAATAAGTTTTCAATTTTATTTAATGAAGTTAATAGTATTTCATAAAAAAATGTGAACTTTCTTTAAAATTATGCAAACTTATCAATTAAGATATAAAAATCCAATTTATATATATTTTAACTTCACTTCCAAGAAAACATTTAGGTACGCGTGAAATTCGTATTAAAAATGAAAGTTTACATAAGAATTAAAATTTCTTATATGCAAAATTCACTGACAATCAAAAATTCATAATGTTATAGTTTTTGTGAATATTTTCATTGAACAAAAAAGAACAAGGTGCTTTAAGTGTAAAACTTACTTTTACAACAGGCACTCTAGGTCTAAATCTAGAAGATAATTGATTTAGAACTTCTGCCAGCAGTTGTTGATGCTTAAGTATCTTTCTCATTTTCATAATTCTCACTATTGCTGCCTAAAAAAAATAATAAAATAAAAATTACACTCATATGATTCTAGTAAATAGAAGAAATTAAATTTTACTATCAAGAAAATGATAATTTCTTTTTAAAAGGATTTAAAAAGTTAAATACTAATTTATTAGATCAATTTTTTATGATCATGACTTTTTAATATCACTTTAATCTTACGTACGCACAAACCAAGGGCATGGTTAGAAAGTCATGTAATCTAAAATTATCCTACTATATATTGACCTGAATAGCAGAGCATTAATACCAGCAATGCAGCAAGTGCACATTTATTTAGATAGCACAAAAAAGATACACGATTTCCAGAATATTAAGAGAAGTAATAATATTCAACAACAACTTTAACACAGATAGTAAATGGGTAAAGTGTAGTACAGAAGAGTGAAATGCAAGTCATAGTGAGATATTAATTTGAATTAACATATAAACAAAATAGAAAACAATTTAAGAACTGTGCCATCCCTTTTAAGAAAATAGAAATATTTAAAATAAAAATTTTATAGAAAAAAATTTCTCTAGTCTAGTTTTTAGAATTTCAAATAAAAAGCTCTGTATAGCACTTTTATAATACAAAATGCTTATTTAAAACTCTCTAGAATTGAGGTTTGACAAATATCTTTCTTCTTCAAAAAAATATTCAAAAGTTTAAAGAATATTACTACATTCTGGCATAGGTCTTGAACAATTTTAGCCTAATACGGTCCAGATTGGGAAGAACTGATTTTTAAGAGTTATCAGTCTTAAAAACTAGTCATAAAATCATTAAAAAATGTCTCTTTGTTTTAAGATGAAATATATTATCTTAACCCTCCTGGTGGCGCTTGCTTGAAAAAAAAATTACTCTTAAAACAGCAGGCATATTTACCAGAGATGTACCTTTAAAGGGCGAGGGTCAGACAAAGGGAATGCTTACCCCCTTTTTTACTGTTTGCTGTTAAGAGAATTTTTCACACTCTAGGTGGTCAGTCAGGGGTATTGACAGTTTGATTGATGAAACCCATTAAGTAGTTCACTCATCAACTATCTTTTTTGAATACTTGTGGAAAGCAATGCTTGTTTACAGAATGATTTTACCTTTTTACAACTTATATTTAAATAATAACTGCGCTTCGTTCTCACCTTCCTCACTTATAAAGATTATTAAAACAATATCATTCAAGTTTTTCTGATAGAAAAAAAAAACTAGTAATAAATAAAATTTAAAAAAAATTAAATTTGAAAACAATATTGTCAAGTTTATGTTTCTTTATTTTTTATTATTAAATTTTTATTTATTTAGTGATTATTATCACTACACATACATAGCGTATATAATTGCTATTAAAATCCTTTAATTTTTCTATAGTTTTCAATCTCGCACAGTGGCAATCCTTTTTCTTTTATTTAATCTATGCCATTATCATTATCTTTATTCTAAGTTATATCTCTGATTAGGAAAGTACACCATTTAGAATATAATTTCATTATCAATATTCAAAATGTAGTTAAGTGTAATTTTGACTAGTATTAGTTAATTCCTTTTTTCCCCATTTTTTATAAAATTGAAGCTTTTTAACTCTTTGTGTACCAAATAAATTTCCTTGTTGCTTGTAGATAGTACTTCCATTCAGAAACCGAAAATATTGCCGAACACGAAAATATGAAAGATGATATGGCTTGATATTCATTGTTAAAATATTTTCTAAAACTTGATTATTGAAGTCTGAATAAAACTTTTTAAATTTTTCGCCCTAGAAAATTTTGTTCTTCTATTAAGGATTCGTAAACTGATGTAGTGTCAATCACATTTACAGCCGTTTTTAGAAAGAAAAAGAAAGTTCATTTGCTTTATTTACCCCTATTTCTCTACTGCTTGCTCTCTATCGATAAATTTTCCCCATCATTTTTAATTTTATAACGCTTTCGCTATCAATAAAAAAGAATTGCTTATTTTTTTTTAGTTGATACCCTTATACAGTCACCCCATTTAATTGCATTGCTGATAACTTTTAAAAATGTAATTTATGAGTTTAATGAAGCAAAACCATTCATGTATATTCATATTATTAAATAATAAAGTCTTAAATTATTTTTCCACATTTAAATGGCTTAATTTAAAATTTAGAGAATTTTTTCGATGGTTATGAATGGAATAATAAATTGAGTGTAATTCTATTTACTTTATTCACAATTCAATTCACAATTATGAAGAAACTTATTTATATTACAACAAAAGCTGCTTGCTTGCTATTTTGAGAAAAAAGCATAAAATAACTGTAGGGGTCAAAAACAGGCTGCAAGGGGTCCATGTCAAGTGAAAAACGGGGTCAACGATTGTGGATCTCAAATTGGCAGGTCGTGACTTTTATTTTGGCATTTCATGAATGGGATAATCAATATACACTGATGCTACCTACTATTTACTTTCATCATATTACCTTATAATATAAAGACATATTTCTATCTACATTCTACACAATTTATAAAAGTAGCTATGAAGTAAAATTTTTTTAAAATTAAAGTTATTAGGATTAATTTTTGATATATGAAAACTGAATTAATATAAACTAGCAGTTGTCTGCAGCTCCGCCCTCGTACGTTTTTATTTTCTCTACGTGTAAGGCTTTATTTTGTAACAAAAAGAAAAAAAAGTATTTTTCAGAGGTAAATTGTAGCCTAGCCTGTGTCAACTCTTTAGCTAGCTAGACCTCCTATTTTCTCTGCGCACAAGATCACGGGATTTGTTGCTTAACTTTTACGTGAAAACGTAACAAACAGACCGATAATACACTACTACAGTTTTGTATACAAACTTATTTCCCCAATTATAATATTAGTAGCGGGGAGCGGGTTTTGTAGTGCACTATTTTATTCCACTTACAAATTAATTAAATTAGTTTGAATTTAATTAATAAATGTATAAAATTAAGATTTCTTTTTTAAAGTTTTTCACACTTCATTTCACTACAGTTAGAAATTTAAATTTTTAACAGTGAGTCGCACTATACCAGCTGTCAAAAATACATTTGAAGTTGATATTGATGAATTTACAAAAAAATAAATATCAGGTAAGCAGAGTGTCTATCCAAAACCGAAAAACATGGCAAGATATCTACGAGGCAAAAAAAAGTTCGGGAACAACTGGTCTAGAGCTAAGATTACCTAAGAAAATTCCTTACACTAACTTTTGAGAAATTTTTAAAAAGTAGAAATGATAGTGGTAATTAATTTGATGCAAAGTAAATACATTGAAGAAAATCTTTTGCAGATACTGCTAAATATGAATTTAAGGTAACAGCTTAATTTAAAATCCTTCAGTTCTAAAATCAATAAAATGATTTTATTAAAAGGAAATGATGTTACATTCTTTGATTAGCTCACTATCAGGGGTCTGTCTAGGCATTTCGTGAAAGGTCCTGTTCTTTTAAAATTGTAAAAAAATTACTCGTAATTTGTGAATATAAAATAAGTGTAGGTCAAATTCTTTCAAAGGAAATGATGTTACATTATTTGATTAGCTCACTATCAGGGGTCTGTCTAGGCATTTTGTGAAAGGTCCTGTTCTTTTAAAATTGTAAAAAAATTACTCGTAATTTGTGAATATAAAATAAGTGTAGGTCAAATTCTTTCAACCAGGGTCCTGTTTTGTGAATTTGTGCAAATAGGGTCCTGTTATTTAAAAAAAAAAACTATTTCAAGGAGTTTCAATTGTAAATGGATACAAGATTATGCTAAACACTGTAAAATTATAATTAAAAAAATTAAAATTTCAAAAATAAACCATCATTGCTGCTACTAAATTAGAGATGCAACATACAAATATAGGGTATTTAGCCTACACTGCACAATGCAGAATATTCATTTCGACGATTAATGGAAACAAAATCAATCACATTTTTTATAATTTCAATTGACATATTTTAAATAACACAACTTAGTTATGCATCACTTCTAATGTGTTACACATTAAGTAAACTTAAACAATTCTTAAATTTATATATATTTTTTTTTTTAAAAATTGACATAAGTTAATTTTTATTTATATAAAATTTCATCCATTATTTTTATGAATAATATATTGCTCAATTATTTATTTACAAAAAAAATATCATTTAACATCAATAAGAATGTACACACGATGTTTGCAGAAATATAAATATTTTCGTACAATACTACATTTGGAATTTATAACATTTTTTGACCTCAAAGAGGTCAAGATACATAATTTAAATGTAATGAAATCAAACTTAGCCTTAGAATTGAAGCAGAAAAACATGGTTAAAAAAATATTAGAGCAAGATGCGTCGAATTCCAGTAGATTTGAAAACAACGAAAATAGCTGAACACTCAGCATCAGTCAATTTACAATAATACGCAAATGTCTATCGAGTGTCTGCCGTGAAAGGACAGATTAAAAGATAAATTATTTGTAAAAAAGTTCGTTTTTAAGTTAAAATATTTTCTGAAGGGTTCGTTTTTATGAAAAGATATATTGTGAAGAGTACGTTAACGGACCCAAATTTCTTCAAAACAGACTGCTCTGAACAGACACCTGAATATAATTGTATACTCAGTAAACATAAATATAACTTTATTTATTCTGATACCCTATTAAAGTTCCAACTTTATATTATAATTTAGTGAAACATTTATTCTGAAACAAGAATAGAAATCAGATTGATATACTGTTGATGAATTACTTAGAATTTAGTTTCAATTAGTGATCTATAAAAAGGAGAAGCAAACATTATTTAAGAAATCACAAACGCAAAAACGTCATGAAATTCCAATAACAATAAGACATATTTGTTTAAAAGTTTTTGCAACAGAAAAAATTAATAATTTTTTAAACAATTAAATATAGAGTGAAAAAAATTCAACTTCACAAAAATTATTTTAGACTTTAAGAGTGGTCTATTTGAGATTGTGAGATTTGAAGTGCTCTTGTATATGCTCTCTTTATTTACACTATTTCAAAGTTTTATATAAAATCTACTTTTACTAAAGCCCTTTTTAGTCATTTTATTAGTGAAGTGCAGAAAAAAAAACCATATTTCATTTCGCGCTTTCTTTTGAAGCAATAATACATTCTAAAGAAACTAAAGGTATCCTGGAATCAACAGGATAAGTGCCAGTTTTCAAAGGGTGAAAGCAAATGTTGAAAGAAGTTCTTGGAAGAAGAAGATAGCAATAGTTAGAGTTGTGAATGCATGATGAAATGGAGGGTCAGTGGTTTGAAAGAGGGAGATTTACTTCTCTGCAGGGGGCTGTTTCCTGTATCTCAGCCTATAATACTTGCTAATTGTATGGAACAGCTACAAGAAAAATTCCTAGTTCTGCACGGTTCTGGAAAGAAGACAAATCACTCTTTGACACTCTATTTTCGACAAATTTCTCTCTTTTTCTGAGTATCGGCTAACAAGGAAGCATTTCTGATGAAAAATGATTGCATCCTAGTTTGTATTGAGAAACGTATTTATGTATGCATTTTAAAAAAGGAGGGGATGGAACTTAACTAACAATAAACAAATTACAACCAAACTATTTATTGTCCAAAATTATAAAATAGTGCATACAAATAAAAAGCTTTAATAGGAAAAGAAATTTTGAAAATAAATTTGTCCCTTAAAAATCAGCCTCATATATAATAGAAAAGCAATAAGAAATAAAACTAAATATGTGTATGTAATTTTAGGTAGTTATCCATGCTTTATCTCCCAGATATTTTATCTGCCCTAACTCGAATTTTTTTCAAGATTGTATTTAAAAAGGAAATATTTTTATTGTGACATCTCCAATGATGTTTTCAATAGTTTTACCAACAACCAACTCTTATATTCTTAAACACGGTATTAACTTTTAATAATAATGATTTTTTTTTTTGTTCTATTCTTCATTAAAGGTCAAATAATAAAATTTAACTCTCTAAACAAAGGCTGTTACATTTTAAACTTTTGGGATCAATTTTAAACGGTGGTAGTTCATGTAACAAATATGTATCAAGTTTGATGAGCAGAATTGTTCCCAATTTTGTCAGCACTATCAAATTGCAGGACTATCAGATTTTCTATGGTGGTTGAAACAAATGTGTTGTTGTTGAATTCCTTTTAAAATTAATTCCTACGTAAAAAAAGTAAACATTTTTTAAACCCTTCGAAGCACTGTTTGAATATATATTTATTTTGTTAAATTATCCAATAAAAATAACTTTTTTAATTTTCTCTATTGAAAAAAGGTTTATAATCCTTATTAAATAAATACTCGATTGTTTGACCTGTTCTTTGGTCTCAGTCTCAGTAATAGTAAAAAACTGAGTAATACACATAAATTAACTTTGCGTAGCCTTTTCCTTTTATTATTGTCCCTGATATAAATTGATTATAATTAAATCAAAAATTTGAAATAAATACATAAGAATATACAATTTAGAATATACAATAGCATTTAGAAAATTTCGTTTAAAAAATTAGAAGGAAAAAAATTGAAATTATTTTATGCTCTGATTTTTACCAAGTCTTGTTTTTACTTAGTTTGTTTGGAATACATTTTTATGCAAGCCATATTAGTTTATTAAATAATGAATAACTTCATAAGTACATGAGAAGACTTTGAAGTAGTTTCTTGTTAAATAATTTATGCTACCAAAAATGAATGCTTAATTGTAATTTATTAAATTCCTTTACTATGACGCAATAAAAAAGGATAATATTTAGTATTAAGAATTTTGAGCGCATTATTAATATATCACTTGATAGTGTTCGATAAAATTAAAATTGTCTCAGAAAATAATCAGAGTTTAGCTGAGAAAAATTGTTTCAAAATATTATTATATGGTTTTTATATAAACTTAATAATTTTAATTAAAATTGAACTTAAACAGATATTTGATCTCATCCGTTTCTTTGAGGTTGGATGATTCTTCTTTTAGCAAAAATGTTTTTGAATGTACAAGTTATTTTTTAAACATTCAATAGCTGTCTTTCGTATTCTGTTCAAATTTTTATTTTTATTTTATTTCTGTTTGAATTTCAGATGCGATAATTCAAGGGAAATGCATAAAACATGACAAAAACAACAAAAGAATAACACTTAGTTTCAGCATTTTTCAGAATAATTTTGCAAATTTGTGGGCAAATTTTTAGAATATGAAAAACAAAATGAAAAAAAGAATGTGTAATTAAAAGAATGTTTACAAAGAAAAACTTAAACATTTAAAATTAGTAAATTTTAATGACAAAATAGTACAGTATTTCCTGGCAGTTAGAAAGAAATAAAATAAGTCAAAATCTAAACTAAGTTAAAATCTCATAAACAAAGTTAAATTCATACTTAAGTTCGCAAAATAAAATTTAGCTGATGAATATTTTTAAAATATCGAATTTACAGTACTTATAATGAAGCAACGGAACGTTATTAATAGAGGTATTTTAAAACTGATTAAAAATGTGCGAGTATTTATAAGCAATTTTAGATATTATATTTTATTTATTCCTATTTTTATTAATTTCATCTTAAACTTCAATTTTAAAAAAAAATAGAAGTAAAATAATAGCAAAAGCAACAAAATGTTTGATTTATTATTAGCAAAAGAAAACATAAAATTAATATTTCTTCCCTTTAAAACAAACATTTTTCTTTCAGTACAATTAAGCTGCTAATATACTATGAACTCTTGAATAGACTCACAACTCTTCTGTTATAGTGATTTATGATGACAGGTATAACCACCCCTCAATTAGTACCCAGTTGGCGGTCGTAGGGGAAGGAAAAAAAATACCAGCCAAAAACTCGGGCGCGCCGCTAGAGAGGCAGCCCGAGTTATTTCGGGTCCGCCGCCAGGAGGGTTAAAATTTCTAAATTGCATTTTTTTTGCAAAAACTGAAACTTTTAATTAAGAATACTACTTAGTTAAAAACACTTGATATTTAATACAGCATTCAAAGAGAAAACATAGTTCAAAAATATTAACAAAGTTTTTGATCAAAGTAAGAAACTTAAATAATATTTTAATTATTTACTTGTATTAAAAGCTTCCGATCTTCTTCTATATGCTTATGTGTTGCTTCATGCTCTATTTTCATTTCTGCTTTCATTGGAACATTTATATTCACTCTAAGTTTCTTGTTTTTGTAAGCAAAATACAACATTACGATGGAAGATGGTTGCAAATCACTTTCGTCATCTTCACTAGTTAATAGCTTTGATTTTAACAGAATTTGAAGAACTTGAATCAGCACATCCTAAAGTAAAAAAGAAATAAAGTTTACCAGATAAATAAATGAAAATTAAAAAAAAAAGAACTACATAATTAACTATCAAACTGTTAGTAGAAAATACAAAAAAAAAATTTGCATTACATAAAACAGACATCAGAAAAAAATAATTTCAAAAAATTTTAAAAAAAAATTTAAAAAAAAAAAGAGCTACATTTTTTTACCAGGATATACATGTTATAAAATTTACATATTGTTAAATAGTAATGTAATATTTTACTACACTTTACTATAAATTTGCATTTCAGATATTTTTTAAACATACCAATTTAATTTGTGTGCTTTCTTGAAGCTGTTGCACCGTAAAGCTATCCCCAGTATTATATTGAAGTAGAACAGCCATTTGAAAAGTGGAGGTTTGTAAGGAATATCTGTTCTTGAAGCAATTCGTAACAAGCTCACCTTTGGACATATTGTACAACCAATGTAGCTTTCGTCCACTATGTTGACTACTATAGAACATTGTGAACCTTTGAACACTATGTTCCAACTAAAATTAAAATCCAGTATTAAATACTATATCTAAATAGCTATGAAAGTAATAAAACAAACTGACATTAAAAACTTTATATCATTTTTTTATTATTTATTAGTAAGAACTTTTTACTATTAACTATTTATTATTAAGGTAGATTTAGAACTATTTATTATTAAGATATTAAGAACTTCTTTGAAATCAAGGCATTATTTAATAACTGATTATAAAAGAAAAGAGTAATTTAAAATAAATAAAATAAACTGATAACTTGACTCAATTTGAAAATAATATAGACCACCTAAAACATCTGATTGTAAATAATGTTAAAATATTTAAGATAAATAATGTTAAACTATTTAAGATAAATAATGTTAAACTATTTAAAAAGTTTCACATTTGAGTAAAGGAGCATAAAAACTAAAGATTCAGTTCTTCAAATAAATGCTTTTTAGAAGTGAATTATTTTGCTAATCAACCTTTGTAATACTTTCATCAATGTAACCATTTCTTAGATACAAATTCTTGCTATAACTGCACAAACTGATAAAAGCACAATCCCTAAGAAACATGTTTATTGTAGTATTTTATTACACATTTTCCAACTTTTTAAAACTAGCATCAGTAGAACTTCACTAGAAGAATTTAATGAAATTAATTCTAATTAATTGAAAAATAATATTACATTACACTTGCATTGTAATGAAGGATTGATAGAACCTATTATGCAATTGTGAGATTATTAAAATGCGAAGATTGTTCTTTCTAATTTGAAAAATTAAATTTTAGTTTATAAAAGTCACTTCAAATATTTCAAATTTTAATTTAGCATATGATTAGTTTCAAGTTTGATAACACAATATCTATTTTGTTACTTCAAAATAACATTAATGAATTTTGCATATAAGTACTAAGTAAGACTTACAAAGCTTAATTTTCTCAAAAAAATTTAATTTTTGTAAATTTTCTGAATACGATTCCCCATCTGTAATATTTAAATTACGTATATACGAATCACGATATGCAAATCAAAATTATATGTAAGTCAAAGTAAGTCTTGGAAATAGTGCAAGTTAGATATCAGAATGTATGACTTGAAAATAGAAATTGAATTATGATGTATGTTTCATAAACCAGAACAATATGAATAGCAGATAATATAATTTGAAAAGTACACTAATTAACAAATTGTAAATCGTGATGCTTTATACTTAAATCAAAATCACTTTAAGGGGGATCATGTTGCATGATTTGCTAGCCATTTTTATGAAAATAGTGATATGTGATTTTATAATCAGTATAATGCTGGTTACAATTTGTGGTTTGACAATTACTTAAATATAAATTGCTATGTGTGAATCATAAATAACTTTGAGGAGAATTGCAAGTTTATTAATCCCTTTTTATGCAAAGCGTATAGTAATTCTTAAATCTTTTTATTGCGTGATATGAAAACCATTGTAATACAAATTACAATGTGTGATTTATAAAAAACCTTAATACTAATGAGTGATTCGCAAATAACTTTGATGCCAACTCCGATACATGATTCATAAATCACTTCAATGTGAATCCCCATGAGGGAATCGCTTATCACTTTAATGTTCATCATATAACGTGTGATCCATAATTCATGGAATTTGAAAAACTTAATTTTACTTATTAGCAGTACAAACATGTAAAAATTCAACATAAATCATAAAACATGCTTGATAATTTTTTTTTAAAAAACTAACAGTTAAGTATCAAGTATCTAATTAATTAATATTATTTTTGCACTTCAAAAATGAAGTAAGTAACCCAGTTTTACCTCTTGTGGAAGGGCAAAAGCAAAAGACTGTTGAAATGGCCATGACCCTGAACTTAATACTTGTATACTGAAGTCCACTATAAGAGAAGAAACATATATGTATGTATAACTAATAAAAAAAATTTAAGAATAAATTTTACAATAACTTAATAGCAATTCAAAATTCAACATATAAATATGTACACTCATAAGAATCAAAATGATTAATAGAAAACTGTATAAAATTTCTTTAATGATAATTATACTCACAATCTAATGGTTCTTGAGAATTAGTTAGATGCTTCCTAAATTGTTCATTAAGATCCTTACTCACACCAATATCTTGAAACATCCTTTGCAATTTTGATGTATATTCAAAGCCACATGCTTGCTAAAGAAAACAAATTTTAAATAAGTTTTAAAAAAAAACTGATCGAAAAGCAAAGATTACGGATAAATATAAAAATATAACAACTCTCTAAATTTCAAAATATATTTTTTCAAAAATGTGAAATTTAAGCCACTTGAAACTTAAGTATACACTTTACTACAAAGAAATTCAATCAAGGTTAACATCATAAATTCATAATTCAATCATAGCTCATCTTCATTCTTTTTCTTTTTCATTCTTTCTTTTTACAAAATCTTAAAATTAATTCTAGGTAATAAAAGAAAGATAATAGCAAACTGAGCATACTCACAGCTACATTAGTACACACTCCACCAAGAGTGAAAGGAAATCAGGGATTATAGTAATATGTATAATTTTCTTTTCATAATTCAATTATAGCTCATAGATACAAACATCAGTTAACTATCATATAGATTTCCTTAAAATTATATTAATTTTTCTTCTATTTGAAAAAAATAAATAAAAAGGAGCAAAAAATTTTTAATCACATTTTTGTATCACAGTTTTTCAAAAAATTTTATTGTTACTGCAAATCTAAAAAAATAATAAAAAATATTGAAAAACTTACCGGAAATATCAACTTTCCACAATACAAAATTTCACTCTTTTCAAAAAAATAAATAAATGAAAAAATTACACCTTTTACAACTTTTTGAGATTATATTACGTTAGAAATTCTACTTATTCATCATTAATAGTAAGTTTCAAGATAGATGAATGGATTTGTTAAAGCTATGATTATTTTTATGATAAAGTTATGATTTATATGAAAAGTTTTATAGCCTTATAAGTTTTTCTCCAAAAATTATACTTTTTTTAATATAAATCCAAACATTACAAAGATGTCTAAAATTTGTGAAATTTGGACTTTTAAGATTCAGACTGTGATATAAAGATAAAGCAAGAAAGGAAATTTTAGTGAGACTTATACTAAAATTATAACACATTTATTCATTATATATTTTCATTTATAAACATGTAGAACCATTTTCAAATAATGTTCACAAGTCAAAGGCAAGCATTACAAATGAGTAAAATTAAGTAATCAATTAAACTATATAAAATAGGACATTTTAGAGGCATACATCAAGTTTATTTTAAATTCCTGGAAATGACTAATTTTTGGTAAATTATTTAAAAGCCCCACTTCCACAGCTAGAATTTATAAATAAAAAATACTTCAACAAGTAAATTTAATTCACTGTTTAGCATGATGGGTGATATTTACTTAGATTATTATTGTTTTAGCTTTTTAAAGCTTATACAAAATTCACAAGATAATTATAAAATAATGATTACTTATTCTAAATGTGCATGAAGGTCAGAAAGAAGTAACAGATGAAGAATTATATTTTTTCTTTGTTGCACAATAAATAGTGTAAATTAAAAGAGTATTTATAAACCATGAAATATTTTAGTAATTATACCAAGTATTACATATATTTTTTTTTCAGGTGGCATAGTGATAAATATGAACTTTAACCTTTCAGGTATAGGAGCATGTTAAAAGGGGAGCAAGGTTGTAACAGTCCCAACCACCAATTCAAAGGAAGTATCTTATCGACTAAAATACATTTTCCTTTCAAATATTACAATTTTATTATTAAAAAAAAATTGTATAAGACTAATTTTCTTTAAACAATAATGCAAACGAAATTTCAAATAAACATCAATTAAATTTGAAATATGAAACTTCATCAATATTTGTAGTTTATTCATCACCCATAAGATTATTTTTTTAACTGCCCTTATTTTTTCACCTACTCTTTAAATGTGCTTATTGAAAAAATATAAATTTTTAGATATCTTAAACACAGCAAAAGAAACTTAAAATCAATTCTTAAGAATAAGATTTTACAACATAATGCAAATATAAAAAAAGTTGGAAATTTTTGCATTGTTGAAAATAGAAAAAAAAAAAGAATTGTTTATTTTGATTGTTTATAAATGACCAAATATTAGATATTTCTAAAAAACAGATCCTTAAGAGGACGCCATACCGCAGAAGAAAATTTTCGTCGCAAATTCTCTTTATCCTTCATTACTAACTTAAAATTTAAAAGAAAGTAAAAGTAAGTTCAGGCATACCTAGAGTAAGTGAAAGTTTTAGTTACTGAAAAAAATATTTAAATGCAAAGAAACTATTAGAAGAGAACTTTGCCGTTGCGAAATCCTAAATCGTCGTCTTATAATTTATTTTCATTTGTATACTTTCATTTTTTTTTTTCAGTATTTGAAAGTTCATGGCTTACTCTAGGTTTGTCTGAACTCCCTTTTTCTAAATTTTAAATTAGTAATGAAAGAAAAAGAGAATTTGCGAGGAAAATTTTCTTCTGTGGCGTCCTCTTAAGCATGGCACTCTGTATTGATTTAATTAAAATTCTGATGCTGTCCAGCAATAATAATTACTTTGAATATAAGATTTTTATACTAAGCATTATTTTATCTTGCACCACATTAGAATCAAATTAATTATTATATTAAAGGATGTAAAAATTTGTATTATAAAAATTACTACAATTTAAGAAACCTCCATTAGTATTACAAATAGGTAATATGTTAAAGTGATGTGATATTAAACCATCCATTAACACCTAAATACCTAATTGAAAAATACATTTGTTTAAAAAATAAACAAAATAAAAAAATACACACAGATAAATATTTTTTTTCTCCAGTTTTTAGCATTTTATTCTATAACATACCTAAAATTTAATGCATATTAATCCTTAAATGGTTAGAATCTTGACACTGACTACAGATGTGATTTAAATTATATTTTTTAATATCTATATTTTAATAAACATTTTAGGATCAAGATATCTTGGTTGGCAAGGTGCTGGACTCACGTTAGTGAGAATGAGAATTCGAATCCAGCCGACTGAAGACTATCCGCGAAGTAAATAGTGAATGGTGCACATTAAATCTGTTGGGTCACAAAAAACTCCATGTTCCCATAACAAATTATCCCTTTGGAGGTACTGGATTGGAGATTAATCGTTCTCTGGCACATGTAAAAATTATGATCTTTGGCTGATTGAATGGATGTATAAATGGGTCCGCCCTATAAAGGGTGTAACATATGGATGTGGCAGAAGTTGAATTCTTTGCTATAAAAGGTGCTACTGAACAATAAGAACAATCGTACCCCTTGCCTTAATGGCCTAAGACAACAACAATATACAAATTATGTATTTTTATATATAAATAGACAAAAATAAAATCTGAAGCATGTAATTAAAAGTCCCTAATTTATCTACTTCAGATTAAAGAATTACCTTTAGTTTGGAAATCATGCTAGCTTCAGCATCATCACTTGCAGACATATGTTGAACTAACCTTTTAGCCAGCATTTTGCTGTAAAATTTCTGAAATACATCTTTATCCTCTATATATTTAAAAACCACCATCTAGAAAAGTATATTAAAATAACTAAATGTAACACAGTAGATAAAAAATCTAAGAATTATAAAATATGCATTACAAGAAAATAATTAATGAAGTATCTGTACTAATTTTTTTTCCAATATACAGATAATTTTCATCACTAAGATCAGTTTGATAAGCTATTTGTATACATATATAGGTATACATATTGAAGAAAAATCAATTTAAAAATCAAGGAGATTGAGATCTTTTAAGAGATTTGTATCTATACAAGTTAAATACATGGCATTTAAACCATTTCAATGAAGTTTTCACCATAAATTAAATCATTTGGATTCATAACTAATTTGCATGTACAGCTGTGTAGACAAATTAATTCGGTATAAGGAAATAGAAACTGCTCAGGAACATTTGGAAGGAATGTACTATTTTCAAACAAATACTAAACATACAGTGAGTAAAATAAGAAGCGAAACAACTCAATTACTTTATGATCAATTCATCTTAAATGGGGTAATTAATTATTGCAGACAATATTTTAAGTTACAAAAATAAATGAAAATGTACTTTCTCTGAATAAAAATACCTTTTTTCGGATGGATTTGGGTTCTTAAGTTTCAAAATATGTGGGCTAACCATAAGCTTAAAAATATGGGTCCAATAGTTTGGGGTTAAATACTTGAGTTACTTAAATTTTTCATGAACTTGGAAACAAAATTCCTAAAACTAAAATAATTAAAAAAATTTATTATTTTTAAGAGAATTAACTGCATCTAAGTAACTTTCTATGACACAATTACTTGAATACTCAATATTGTTAGGTAAACTGAGTGGAACAAAAACACACAAAGACAATCAGCAAAAGCTAACTGAATCTTTTTTCAGCTGAGTTCTTCTAGTGTCCAGCCTTTATTCATGACAAACAATATGAAATTGGCAATGAAGTTCTTTACCATTTAATTATAAATAATATAAAATAAGATAATATAACACAGTAGATTAAAAAAATATCAAAAAAATATTATAAATTGCCTGTTAAAAGAAAATAGATAATGAAGTAGTATCTTACATACAAATTTTTTTCCAATATACACAGATTATTTTCATCACTTAGATCATTTTGATAAGATATTAGCAACTATACATAGGTACATATATTTATTAAGAATCAGTTTAAAATTAGGATATTGAGATCTTTCAAAAGATCTGTATCCATACAAGTTAACAACTACATGGCATTCAAATCATTTTAATGAATTCCTACGTTTATTCATGACAGACAATATACACCACTTAATTATAAAATATCTTGACACATTTCAAAAATTATGAAAATTAGAAAAAAAACCTATTATAAACTGTGACATTAACAACATATTGAAGAAGCTATTGTGATCTATAAGGGTAAAAAAAAAAGCCTTTGACAAATTTCAGACATTTTAGACACAAAAAAGGAGTTAAAGCTTTTTTATAGCTTAAGTAATCAATATTTCTCTTCTTTTTTTTTACCCAAAGCAATTTTCCCAAACTAAGTAATACATATCAGTTTCATAAACTTAGGTTTTTCATATCACTATAATGTATAAAAAATGAATTGGATTTCTCTACACAATATAAAAAAGATAAAGACATATTTGAATAGACTGTTAAAAATACTTTAGATCTCAAGATCTCTCTCCTGAAAATATTAAGAGACCAGTTATTAAGGACAAAACAAAATGTAAGGAATTAATTTGGAAAAGAACAGCGAATTAAAATTTCTGAAGGCTTTGATCACTAATTATTGCTAGTTTAAAATTTCAATAAGAATCGCTCAAAAAATACATAAATATGAGATGCGTTACATATATGAAATATATCACTAATAATAAAAATCACTAATAAAGGTCAGGGTTAGATCAGTTCAGATTGACAACATAGTTATTTTTTCAGACTCTCTATCAGCCATCCAGTCTATTGCTGCACATAATGTCGCAGAGTCAAATATTATTGACTCCTGCAGAAGAAATATTAATCTCCTAGCTTCTGAGGGAAGGACTGTTGTTCTGCAGTGGATTCCATCTCATGTAGGAATAAATGGTAACGAATGGGCAGATACATTAGCAAAGATGGGAACAGAGATTTTGCAAGCAGGTAATGCCAAAGTACCATTTTCATCAATTAAAAGAATTATAAGAAATATTGTGAAGAAAAGCTATGATGCTAATTTAGTAGAAGAAATCAAGAATAAGGAGGTATTCAATTAATAAAATTCCAAACTCCCCTAGATCCACTGCAGTGGCGGCGTTCCGTCTGGAGACTGGACATGACTGCCTTGCTAAACATCTATACAGAATTGGTATATTTGGCAGTCCTATGTGCACTTTGTGCAACCAGAACTTTGAGATGGACAAAGATCATTTGCTCAGTTGTTCTTCATTAAATGAAGAAGATTTATTCAGTCGATATTGGCGAGCTAGGGAGTTGATGCAATTGGTATCCAGCGACTGATTCTCGCTCATGTTTAGGTGGTTCACGTTTTCCAAGTATTTATTGTTCTTGTTATTACATTGTTCTTGTATTGTTCAATGGTTCAGTTTTCGTTTTATATGCTCCAATCTCATGCATCTTTGATGCATGGGGGCCAATGATGTAAAGTCAAGTGCTTTTGCAATAAAAAAAAATAAATAAATAAGTAAAGGTTTTAATAATTATTGTTGTATAATTTCAGTTTGTTTTGATCAGATAATGTATTTTAAAATATATAAACAAATTAATATATCAAAAGTGATATTTATATTTTTTCTCACTTCAGACATGAAAGCCAATTAGTTGGAAATGTATAATATAATAGCATGGCGATAAGAATTTTTTAGTATGTTTTAAGTTGAGGTTATGTCAAGGATTAATAAATTAAGTTATGAATTAATTAAGTTATTAAATTAAAGATCAAGTTATGGATAATGTTAAGTTAAGGAGGAATTTGCACATTAATTTTCATCTTAGTATACTAGATTTTTATGGAAAAAAAATTTTTCCTTCCACAAATTACTGAAGCAAGTAAAAATACCGTCTAGTCCCATTTGGCTTCATGAAACTAATTTTTTTTTCATTTTTATACTGCATAATTCTTAAATTTTTCAAGCATGCTTAAATCTAAGACACAACAATAGATAGATAGAAATCAAATTTTGATTATTTCTAAATTTCTTTTCAAATTATATTTTATTCTATGAATGAAAAATCAAAAAGTGAGTTTAACATACCTTGATACCTTATAAAATGTACCTTAATACCTTATAATTTTTTTTTCGGGGGGGNGGGGGGGGGGGGGAGGCGGTTCTTCCTATGCTTGAATTTTTTTTAAAGATATTAAATAATCTAGATTTGTATCTACAAGTAAATAAATAAAATTCAATTTAATCACAAAATTAAAAAATTTTACCACTTGATTTAGCGTATCTTCTAATTCAGATTCTTCTGGGTTTTTTGAGCTGCAAATAGAAGATGGTATTACTTGAAGTATTAGACAAACAATATAAAACTAAAAAATATTGTTCTTTAAATGATTTAAATATCTAACATCAATCTTTTTAAATATTGCTTTGAATAAAATATGACATTTATTTAACATTTATCACCAAAAATATAAGATACTAAATACCACTATACTGTTCCAAGCACAGGGGTTCGTTTCGATTAGAGATGAATATAACAGTCCTTAAGATTCTAAAAATTTATTAGCAGAATCTTCCAGAAAATACAGCTATTTCTAGCACTTAATTACAGCTCAAATAACTGAGTAGTACACAGGCTTTAAAACCTCTGACTGTTGAATAACCACACAAGAGACTCGCAAATCAGAACACTAATGCAATCACAGACTAATAATCTCTACTACTCTCTTGGCCCAGTACACTATTACTTTTTCTAATGTTTATAAAGTTAAAGTGCATGTATATATATCTAAATAAATTTTTTTGTCACGAAGAATAAAAATATTAAATAGTTAACTGTTTTTGCATATATAATAAAATTATTCTATTATTAAGAAATATTATGATCTTGTAGATACTTTTCGATTGTGTGCCCAGATACTTTATATTTTTATTTTACTATGCATGTGCATCCAACATATTTGTGTCTCTAGCTGCATGTACCGATACAAAATATAATTTTATTTCTTTAAAATTTACTACAGGGTTCATAATCAATTTCGGGAAAAATTCCCTGACTCTCAAGCGCAATGAATTTTTTATTAAAAAAAAGTACACCCAGAAATGCAGAGGAATATTAGTTAAGAATGTGAGATAATAATGTTGGGTATAAAAAATACACCAATAAATCTGAAAACCCTCACACATTATAATTCAATGCAAAAAAAAAAAAAATCACTACCACTTCCCTAGAATATATCTGGTCCCTTTATTTCCCATGGTACATAGTATACTAGCAAATTACCAAATACAATTACAAATTAAAAGTCTTCAGTTTTAAGAAACTGAGAATGAGAAAATACCTAATGCATCGACCAAATTATTTCAGCCCTCGTAAAATCATCGTTAATTGAAAAATTCGATACAGCTGCTTTGGCTAGACTTCTGTTCTTTGGTTGTGCAAAGTCCATATCCTTAGAGAAATTATCGATTTCGGGCTGTTGTTCTAAACTACAGGCGCTACTCTGTTTACTTATAAGAGCCAGTGTCCCATGTTACTTAAACTGGAAACACTTATGGCACACTCTACATCAGCCTTTTTAAGGATCTTTCGTTATGCTTACGACCCAAGAAGCAAATTGTGGATAGATATTAGAGTCAGTCCATTCTGGATTAAAACTACTTTTGCAGTTCATTTTTTTTAATTATTATCAAGTAAATTTATAAAAAGTAATCAATAAAGAATAAAAGTAACTATCAAGAAAAGAAATAAAAGTTTGATGCAAATCCGCGCACACAGCACACATTTTTTGTTTGTTTACCAACGTCAGAGGCACATCATTGCCAGATTGAAAAGAATAAACATAGTGAAAAAAAAGCACTGACTAATCTTCTTTCATCCTACCTTTAAAATGTACCATAACAATACCACTTAAAAGAACGAATCTAGCATCGCTCTACCAGCAACGTCACCCATATGCTGCAAGAGCGGGAGATATTCTCACTTCATGCATTTAACCATAGTCTGGATTCTGCAGATACGTTGTTGCCACATTTACGAAGTGCTTTACATTTGCGCCAAAAAAGGATTTCAATTAAAAGTTACATTTTTTTAAAAATTTATCGTCAAAATCTCCTGTCAAAAAATATTAAAAGCTTAAAAAATCATATTTTCCCAGGTTTCTACACGACACTTTCATTTTCCCTTTTTAATCCTTTCTGTATCTGCTTATAAACTTTGAAAAGAGTTTTCTTTACTACACGGATCTTAATCCACATCTTTAATAATTTCAAAATGCATAACAGATTTATTAAAAGAAAAGTAAAAATTCAAAACTTTGTTAAAATACATGTTATTTGATTGAAATATACCATAATTATTATTTTTTTGTTTTTTCTTTATCTAAATCTGAATTATTAAACTATAATATTTGCTGTAAATTGCATATTTTCTGTTTTCTAACAAGTAAAAATTCATTTAGACTACATACGAAATCAGGTATACTTTCTTGAGAGAGGCATTTTCCTCACATCTCAAATAGACATCAGATTCATAAATTCACATTATTGACATATTCAAAAACATTTCTTTTACATAATTTCAATTCAGAAATAACTTTTTCACTAAAAAAATAGCAATATAGAATAAAATTGTTCTTTAGAGATTGAAAAGTTTCAAATCAGAATGTTGCAAATATGTACTTTTCTTACTAAATTTTCTTTGAATTTAATCTGTACCCTTTATTTTAAAGGTTCAAGGGAAATTTCTTGAACAGTGTAGAAACTATTGATATGTTTACTGACCTTTTCTTCAATAACAAATCACAATATTTTGCTAAAAGTTCTGGAGATTTACTAGATGAGTTGGCAGCTTTAGTCACTGCATTATTATTTATAAACTTTCCACAAGCCTATAAAATAAACATGAAATCAGTTCCCATTTAAATAAATCAAGCACGAAAAAACCCTTAAAAACGTAGTGAAAAGTTGATGCATCGTAAAGTTATGAGTTATTACTAGAACTGTTATTCTTAAAATAAATTTAGAATAAATAAAAAGCTACAAAACAAATAATGAAAAATTTAGCATGATAAAATTTTTAAAAAGTTGATAATTAAATCAGATTATTTCTCAATAGTTACATGTAGGTATGTAACATTATTCAGAATCATATCAAAATAGTATAGAAGTATAAGAAGAAAAAAAAAAATTCTAAAAGTGATTAACAGGCAATTTTTAAAATTATACATTATTAACCTTCAAATATACCATATATCCTGGTATATAAGTAAACTTTTCAAAACCCCAAAATTTTGCAAGAATCAAGGGGTTGACTTATATGCAGGTAAAAAAAAATGGACATTAGTTGATCATCAAATATCACTGCATTATAAACAATAAGATAGATATTTACAATTCTGTATGAACTTACTCCTTTCAAAAACTATTTTTAAATGTATATACAATTATTTTTTTATTTTTTCTCATCATATTTTCTTAACATATAAAGATTTTTTTACAAAAACAATACTTTAAATTGCGTTAAAAATAAGAATAAGAAAAGTTTAGATTTTAGTCAAGAGTATTTCAAAAAATATAACACTATGAACACTACCATAAAGCTACAAATTAAAAGATTTCAGAGCATCATAGGTGTCAGATTCAATAACATTAGCAGTGTCGTCATATGGATCCCACTCTAAAATGAATTCTACTTCAGTCTTATCTGATAAGTCCCACAAAAAAATAGCCTTCACCTCATTCCACATGTTATTAAAGATGTCACCATAACATTTAAATTCATATTTTGCCACGTGCCCATTGTCATTTGACACAATGAAGTCTTGAAAGGATCAGTCAATGAAAGGATCAGAAAGGATATTTCCTGTTTTTGCAAGAGTTTTTCTCTTTCTATCAACTACATTCATTCCAAAACGATCGATTATAGATTGGGTTTTTTGCAATGGTTGACTTATACACCCAACATATCAGAAGTTTGCTATCTCATTATCAAAAATAGGGAGTCTACTTATACTCCAAGATGTACGGTGCATAGACATGAAACGCAAGCGAGTCATGTTTATATACAAACATATTTTCTGTATAAGCATATATTAGTCGTGTGAGATTATATAAAATACTTGGTCACACATCATTTAGCATCATGATTTACTTACATTTCTCTGTCTGATTTATCGCACTGTTCCAAAATTGTATCTGTACTTCTAACGATTCCTAAGTGTTCATTGGTACAATTTGATTTGCCTGATATAAGTTACATCTATTTAGTATCTCGGAAATATAGCGCCAATTTGAAATCTTTGTCTTAGCATCCTCACCGTTTCTCGTAACCCCAAGCAGTAGAAATTTGGTTGTTGATCCTATAGCATGAGCGTGCTCGTAGCACCAATGATAATAAAATCTTAAATGCAGTCCATTATCCATTTTATTCATTTGTTATCAAACGATCCAGCATAGAAATCAAATCAATTGGTATCGAACATTAGTGATCCTTAATAGCCGGAGATGGAAAAAGAGAAACTAAGCAGATCGAAGTGTGCCATCAAAGGTACCATAACGAAATTAGAAACTTAGGTTGATCAGACGAAGGAACATAATCCAACTGAATTAGAAGTGAAGCTTAAGCATGTTGAACAATTATATCAAAAAGTTGATGAATTGAAGGATCAATATTATGGTCTAAAAGATATAAGTGACCCAGAGATAACTGAAATAGAAACTGATTTAGAAGGAACAGTAGACAGACTCAAAGCTTTAGAGGTAAGAATTAAAGATATTCTTAACTCTCTGATAATTAAACCTTCAATAATTAATTGTGAAAATGAAATATCTCAGGCTGATTCAAAAACAAAACTAGAAATTAAACTGTCTGAGATACCATTACCGGTATTTCACGGTAAATTTGACGAATGGCCCAATTTTAAATCACAATTTGATAACATTATAACTAAAAACAATGATTTAAAAGACTCTCAAAAACTGCATTATTTGAAAGCGTCATTGCTGGGCGACGCTAAACGTCTCGAAACTGTTGGTGATTCTTTTTAGTCACTTTTAAAGGCATTAGAAAAAAGATTTGAGAATAAACGTCTCCTCACTGAGACTTACATAAGTCAAATTTTGGAAATTGAAAAACTTGCAAATGAATCAGCTGGAGATATTAGTAACATGGTAGATATTTTAAAGAAAAATATCAGAGCTAGTAAATTTTGATCGTAATAATTTATCTGACATACTTTTGCTTAACGTCATTTTGAAAAAGGTAGATCGAGAAACTAGAAAACAATATGAACAAGCAATCGTATCAAATGAAATACCAGAATTGGATAAATTTTTAGAATTTTTAGAAAAAAGAAGCCCAATTCTTGATAGTATTAGTCGAACAGCTTCTTCTTCAATTTATAAACATAAGCTAGCTATTAATAAGAGTAAATCTTTCCAGAATTCGAATAATAATCCCAACTCTTGTGTAATCTGCAAATTACCACACATGATTTATAAGTGCAACACTTTTCAAAATATGAAGGTTTCGGATAGATTTAATGAAATAAAACGTTTAAATTTGTGTATTAATTGCTTAAAGTATAATCACAAGGTAAACGACTGTAAATCAAATAATTCCTGTTTCGTTTGCAAGAAACGCCATAACACTTTACTGCATATTTATGAGATTTCTTCCCCGCCTCCTACCTCCTCAGTTTCTACGATGCCAAGCGCCAATCGAACAACTGTCTCCTAAGTGCATGATTCATTCCCACAAGAACATCCGTATACTTTTTCAAATTATTTAGTATCAACAAAGAAACAAAATATTCTCTTGCCTACTGCAGTTATTTATATTAGAAATGAATTAGGAGACTATTATCCATGCAGAGCAATTTTGAGTCTTTTTTGAAATTTTAAAGCCAAATCAGTTTCGATCGGCATGTAATAATTGGTTGTTTCAAGAAACTGTATCTGGTTACATTGTCATGGGGAGCTCCGATAATAGTACAAATAGAGCATATTGTGGATTAACGCTTAGTTAAGATATAAATTCGGAAAGCCTCGATAAACAGCTACAAGCATTTTGGAATATAGAAACTGTTGACCAGCCCTCTGTTGAACATAATGTTGAATTTGAGCTCTGCGAAACTCAATATAAAAATACTCATTATCGAAATCATGCAGGGCGTTACATAGTACAGTTGCCTTTGAAAGTGGATCCCACTTCGCTCGGTGATTCTAAAGCAGTTGCCAAAATGCGTTTAAATCAGTTATGGGAGAAACTCTCGAAAAATGAGGAGTTGCAATCACTTTATAAATCATTCTTAATGGAATATGCTGACTTGGAGCATATGCAATTAGTTGTAGAACCTCTTGATGAACCGCTTCCAGATTCAAAGGCTAGGGATTGGCAGTGTTTTGTTTCTAAACTGCCTGCCATTGAAAACATGCAAATTCCTCGTCACACGGAGAAGGGTGGAGTCGTGATTCACGGCTTCTCCAATGCATCAGCCATTGCGTATGGAGCAGTTCTGTACATGCAATCAATTTCGGGAGAAACATCATATACGAGACTTTGGTGCAGCAAGTCCCGCTTTTCACCAGTAAAACCTATCACGATCCCTCGCTTGGAATAGTGTACCAGTGTTTCATTGGCACAGCTTTTGAACAAGGTTCTTAAGTCTCTAACCTTGCCCATTTAACAAATAATGTTGTGGACAGATTCTACAATTGTGCTGGCATGGCTTAAGCGGTCACCTGATCAACTCAAGACCTTTATCAGCAATCGAGTTAAAATAATGCAAGAACTAACTAAGAACTGTCATTGGAATCACGTTGCATCTGATAAAAATACTGCAGATGTCCTCTCTCGTGGTCTGAATGCTTCGGAAATTGCCTCCTATGAACTGTGGTGGTTTGGACCAGATTTTTTGAAAGAGGAACTGAATATTGTTACAATAAATTTTGAAAAAATCTCTTCGGACAGTTCTTTTCCAGGAGCTCAAACTCCCTGCCAAAATACTTCTAACTTCTTATAAACTTGACTTAATTGACAATATTTTAAATCGTAACAATAATTATACAAAAATTTTGAATATTTTAAGTTATGCTTTCAGATTCATATTCAACTGTAGAAATCCAGGTAACAAAAGATTTGGTAAGTTATCCTCTAATGAATTGAAAGAGACGGAGTCCTTTTTAGTCAGAAATGTACAAGCATCTGCTATTAAGGAAGAAATAGAAGCCATTTCCAAGGGCGGGGCTTTATCAGGTAAGAGTAAACTTAACTCTTTAAATCCTTTTCTTGATGGTCATCAAATTCTCAGAATGGGTGGTTGTTTGCATAATGCTGCTCTGAATTATTCTCAAAGGCATCCAGCTATACTTCCTGCAGACCATCCTTTCACTAAATTGTTAATAACTCATTTGCATATTAAAAATCACCATTTAGGACCTCAACCATTATTATATTGCACTAGAGAAAGGTTTTGGCCACTTCGTGGTTGATCGATAGCTAGGAAAATTGTTCATAAATGCATAGTTTGTATTAAACATAAACCCCTTATTTCAAATCAACTTATGGGAACCTTGCCTCGAGAAAGAGCAAACCCTAATTATCCTTTTTTGCACTCTGGTATTGATTATTGCAGTCCTTTTCAAATTAACTATAAACACCAGAGAAAAGGGAATTTCCAACGGATTTATGTTGCAATATTTGTGTGTTTAGCCTCGAAGGCGATTCACTTAGAAGTGGTTTCCGATTTAACAGCTGATGCCTTTCTTGCTACCTTAAAGCGTGTTGTGGCTAGGCCTGGCAAATGTGCTACTATATCATCTGATAATGCAAAAAACTTTGTTGGGGCTGGTAGGGAATTGCAAAATCTAACTAGATTTCCAGACAAAAATCTAGCATCCTATTTGGCATCTGAAGGGATAGTTTGGAATTTTATTCCTCCCAGAGCTCTTAATTTTGGGGGCCTTTGGGAGGCAGGGGTCAAATCCTTTAAGTTTTACTTAAAACGAGCTACAGAAAATTTAAAATTAACATTTAAGGAATTTCTTACAATAACAACACAAGTCAAAGGAATCCTAAATTCTCAGCCATTAACACCTTTGTCAGATGATATGGATGACCTGGAGGTTCTAACACCAGGGCATTTTTTTGTTGGAAGATCTATAACTGCCATAGCTGAACCAAGTTTGTTCAATAAATCGGAAATCCGACTTTCTCGATGGCAAAGGTTGACAAAAATTGTTCAATACATTTGGTCTAAATGGTCTCGGGACTACCTGAACAACTTGCAACAAAGAACAAAATGGAAAGTAGGGAAAACCAACATAAATTTAAATGCGATGGTTTTAATAAAGGAGGATAATCTTCCTGTAAATCAGTGGAGCTTGGGATGAATTTTAAAGCTATTTCCTGGAATGGTTGGAAAACTTCAGGGTAGCGGAAATTAAAACAAGCAATGGAATCGTTAAACGTAGTACAGTGTAACGTCCCATATCCGGACGTTCCTTTTCCGGAAGGGTCAATTTCCCGGACACTTTTTAACAATCAAAATAAACAAACATTTCTTCATCTTCCCCACTCTCTTACTTTAG